GGGGTGTGGGTGGGAGGGGCCTTGCCTGCTTACTGACAGACACCGCCCCCGCAGTCTATCACGTGATCTTCATCTACTGTGCTGTCAAGGGCCACCGGGGCTTCCAATTCTTTTACCTGCCCTACTTTGAGAAGTGAGCTGCAGCTGGCCAGTGGGATACCAGAGATCCAAAGCATCAGGCCACCTCCACATGTCCACTGGGCGGTCCTCCAGCCTACGCCCAGTTCTTCCCCCCTTTGACCTGGAAGGAAAGGCCCTCTGGGACTCTCACACCACCAGTCCCCTCCGGATTTGCTCAGGAAGTTTGGGGCATGCCAGCCTGGGGACGTTGCCCCTTAACCTGATGTGTGCCTTTATTTATTCCTGGGCCCCCGAACTCCTGAGTTGGTGTAATTTTGTGCTAATAAAAGGGTAATTAATCCCAGCAGGGACAGTTGCAGTTTTCTGTCCCACCAGGCCTGGCCCAGCCCACTAACAACCACAGCTCCCTTCTACAAAGGTTTAGTAAAGGACTCACACGAGCTGTGGAAGACCACCAACCTCTCATGGCATCTAGGACAATCTCAGATGTGCCCAAGGTCACCACTATGTCCAGGGCAGAGCTGGATGAAGAAGTGGTCCCAGTCTCCCTGCCTTCAACCTTGAGGAGATTCAACTGTCCCTACTGTATAACAGACCAGCTCCCCTACTGGTGGCCTTATCTAAGGGCACTGAAAGATGACACAGGCCTGGGCCCTGGAGGCTGGTATCCTGGTCCAGCCTGACTCTAGGGCCCTGGGCTACCACAGGATTCTCTGAAAGTGGGCCATGTGGGACAGCGATGCTCCTCTGTGTGCTGCCCTACTTCCTGGGCCCAGAGCTTGGAGAACCAGGGAGCAGAGGGAGTGAGAGCACAGCTTCTCAGAGGGCACCACAGTGACAAGGAGACTTAGAGCCACCAAAGGTTTGAAACATCAGAGCTCCTAATAATGTCTAAAACTTAAACAAAAACTAAAACAAACAAAAAAACCAATCTGAGCTCACAGTAGCTCTCACAAAATAATCTGTGCCAAGCACTTCCCCCAAATCAAGTCTTAAAGCCTCGGCCCCATTTCTCACATGAGAAGCCCAAGGCCCCTAGTTTACAGGTGAGGACTAACTCACCAAGAACAGAAACACAACTCAAGCCCTTCTAAAACTCAGAGAGGAAAAAATAGAACAAGACTGGGGTCTTCTGCAGGCCACCAAAAGACCAGCTGAGTGAACGTTCCCTCCTCCGGACCAAAGATTGGTGTCCACAGAGCAAGCAGGATGCTGGGCACCTGGGCCCCTTGCCTTTATGGAATGAGTAGACACCTAGCCTTTTGACACCCCTCTCCTGGCCCACCCAGACCTTCTGCCCTCCGACCTCCAATCAGAACACCTTAAGTAACGTGACACTCTACAACTAGCCAAGGCAAGGACTAATGCAGTTATACAGTAAAGGTCTGGTGAGATGGGAACAAGAGTTAAGGTACTTGCTGCCAAGCCTGACACTGGCAGCCTGAGTTCAATCCCTAGGACCCACATGATGGAAAGAGAAGACTGCCACAAGCTCTTTTCTGACCTCCACATATGCTCCCTGGGACACTTGATCATGCACGGACGCACACACACACACACACACACACACACACACACACACACACACACACACTGAGGGATGGAGCAGTGGATACTTGCTGTGCAACTGTGAGTATCTGAGTTGGAATCTCCAGAACACACAGAAATCAGACACAGTAGTGGATCCCTGTCATCCCAGCTCCTACAGAGGTGGGAGGTGGAGGCAGGAGAATCCCTGGAAGCCAGAGGCCTGGTATCTGAAGTTCCAAGACAGCAAGAGCCCCACCTTGCGGCGCCAGCACCACAAGCAACTCCAAGGTATCAGGAAAAGAGAGACAAGCCGTCTATTTGTTTGTACTAAGAGAATGTATGTGCTGCCTTTATTGCCAGGAGAGAGAGTGTGTGTGTGTGTGTCTGTCTTCATTGCAAGTGCTAAGAGGTCTCTCCCTTATAAGAGGGAGGAGCTTTATATACAGGTTTACAGCACAGTGGAAAAAATCCCAGGTAGGAGAGATCGTTGTTTTTCTCCTGCTGGATGTTGATGTCAGAGGGTCAAGGCCAGGGCAGTAAGCTAGGACTAGAAAACAGAAAGCACTTGGACTGGAAAACAAGTTGCACTTATAAGCTGACCAGCAACTCACAGAGACCCCATGGGGCTGGGGCCCAACACCACCTATCTTAAAGCGGAAGTTGAAGACCAACTGAGGTTTCTTCTGATCTCTATGTCTGTGCTATGACATCCTCATGCCCCACCCCCCAGCTTTTTAAATTTAGATTTATTTTATTATTTTGTGTGAATGAGTGTTTTGCCTGCAAGTATGTCTCTGGACCACATGAATGCCTGATGCCCAAGGAGGTTGTGAGCCTGTATGTGGATACTGGAAATTAAACCACTGAGCCAACTCTCCAATCTAGAAAAGTGAAAAAGACAAAATTCAAGCCCACAGTTTGTATTTTCAGCACATCCACACAGTTATAGTCCAATAAACATAATGAGAGCATAGAAAACAAAGGAAAATTTTAAAACTTTACTGAAAAGAAAGTTGGCACGATGCTCATTGGGTAAAAGCAGTATTGCACATCTCTGACAGTTTGAATCCTCAGATCTACTGTGCAAAGAGAGAACTGACTCCCAAGATTATCCTCTGTCCTCCACATGTGTACCATGGCAGGCACTCACCTGCACTCACAAACAATAATACTCTTTTTTTGTTTAAATATTTTTCTTTATTTTTTTATATGCACTGGTGTTTTGCCATGGGTGTCAGATCCCCTGGAACTAGAGTTACAGACAGGTGTGAGCAGCCATGTGGGTACCAGGAATTGAACCCAGGACTTCTGGAAGAGCAGCCAGTGCTCTTAACCACCGAGCCATGTCTCCAGCTCAATAATTTTTTTGGGGGGGGGGGTTCAAGACAGAGTTTCTCTGTGGCTTTGGAGGTTGTCCTGGAACTAGCTTTTGTAGACCAGGCTGGTCTCAAACTCACAGAGATCTGCCTGTCCCTTCCTCCTGAGTGCTGGTATTAAAGGTATGTGCCACCACTGCTGGGGCTCAATGATTTTTTTTAAAAACAGTGTCACTATGTACCCTGACTGGTCTGGAACTTGCTATGTAGATCAGGTTAGCCTTAATTCACAGAGATCTAATTGCCTCTGCTTCCCTAGGGCTGGGATTAAAGATAGGTGCCACCATGACTAAACAACTTTTTTTTTTCCAGACTCTGTGTAACAACCCTAGCAGTCCTGGATCTAACCCTGTAGACCAGGCTGGCCTCAAACTCACAGAGATCTGCCTACTTCTGCCTCCTGAATGCTGGGATTAAAGGCGTGCACCACCATCACCTGACTAAAAAAAGATTTAAAGCAAGTAGATTCAATTCAAATTCCATTCTTTGACCCAGTATGTATCACTTAAAATTATAATGTAATCAATGAATTTTCTTCTTTTGTTAAAATTACATTATTTTACTGCTGGAGAGATGACTCAGCAGTTAAGAGCACTGGCTGCTCTTCCAGAGGTCCTGAGTTCAGTTCCCAGCAACCACATGGTGGCTCACAATCTTCAGTATTGAGATCTGGTGCCCTTTTCTGGCCAGCAGGCATACATGCAGGCAGAATACTGTATTCATAATAAATAAATAAATATATATATAGGTCATTTTGTAATTACATAATTTATTTCGGAGTAGAGGTTCACACATGCAACATCCCATGGGTGTAGGTCAGAGGGCAACTGTGGGAGTCAGTTCTCTCCTTCTATAAGTGGATCCCGGAGACTGAACTCAGTCTTCAGAATTGGCACCCTTCTTTTTCTTTCTTTCCTTTTATAGTGATGCACTTAAGCCCAGGACCTTGCCAATGCTAGGCAGGCACTGTGCCACTAAGGCACACTCCAACCCAGAGCTTGCCTTTTTCTGGTTAACCGATCTAACCCAGATGTCCCTGGCCACAGTTTTCAAAGAATGCTGGAAACCTAAACTCTAAACAGACACTATAAACAGTATTTCTTTATCTTGAAACACACTGAGAGGAGGCATAAATATTTCCATTGTGGGTGGGTGGTACATGCCTTTAATCCCAGCATTTGGGGACTGGACAGAAGTAAGAGGAGATCTGTGAGTTCCAGGCCATCCAGACTACCCCGTCTCAAAGGTGGTGCGAGGGGTTTATTTCCTTTCCTCGCCTCCAGCCTTCTCCTAGTTTAAATCAAAATTCTTAGTTTCTCTGCTTGCCTCCTCTGTTTGATTACTGAATGGGATATCCTGTGTCTGTTACCTTCTAGGCTAACCTCAAATGAAGTCCTCCATCAGTCAGTAACTCTACCTTCTCTCTGGCACCTGTAGAAAAAGCCCAAGCCATATTTTCCCTTTATGTTGTTTTTGTCTCTGTAGAAACTTTTTGCACTCAAGGCCCTGACCACCCTCAACATGCCTCTTTCTCATACTTGAGTCTTCTTTTCTAGGTTGCCTTTTCAGAATCTGGAACGTAAGTAGGTAGGTTCATACCTTCCCCCCAGACTCAAACGGACGTGGGTGTTCATCAAGGCAGGTCCCCAAGCCTCAATACAGGACTGAATTCCCCCAGTGTCAGCTTCCCCAAGGCCCCACATTGAGCTCCTTGAGCTTGGGAGACCTAAGGTCAACCCTTCCTTTCAGTTTCCTTCTTTGTGGAACTTCTTACCCTCTTGCCTTGACCTCCTAGACTGAGATTACTAGCATGTAGTGCCACACCCAGGTTCAGTTTAGTTTTCATTCATGGCTGGGTTGGGGGTGGGTAGACACAGCATGCACATGCTAAAAACAACCCCGTGAAGTTGGTTTTCTCCTTTCATCGTGTGAACTATTTATCATTTATTTATTTATTTATTTGGTGTTTTGTTTGGTTGGTTTTTAGTTTTTTGAAACTGGGTTTCTCTGTGTGGCCCTGGCTGTCTTGGAACTCACTCTATACTATAGACCAGGATGGCCTGGAACTCACAGAGATCCGCCTGCCTCTGCCTCCCGAGTGCTGGGATTAAAGGCGTGCGCCACCAACCCCACTACAAAAACATCAAAGATACAATTCTGACTCGGTAGCAAGAGCTTTTACCTGCTGGGCCATTCTATCAGCCAATTACATTTTTCAAAACAGCACTCTATACACATCGCCATCCACCATGTCCTAGGAATTCCCCACCACACACTATGTCTGATTTATTCGAATGCAGCAAAAGCTGGGAACTCCTACCTCTCCAGGATCTGGAGAAGTCCAAATATTGTTCTCTGCTGAGAACTGCAACCAGCTGCCATTTTTCCCTCCAGAGCTCAGGAGGAGAAGACAGTGCAGCAGACACTGGAGTAGTCAGGTGTGGCCAGGGGTAGAAGCAGCCTACAGCTGGGGAGGATCTCTCCCACCCTGGGGAAGGGTGTGGTAGTCTGGTTCTCGGCCGGGTATCTGGGCCTCAGGGGCAGTAGGCTGTCCCCCCAGGTGCCTCACCCAGTAGATAGCATCTTTACAAATTCTGCAGGAGAGAGGGGTAGGGAAAGGCCAACCCAGGTCAGGGACTGAAGGAGGTTCAAAGGGCTAGAGGCATGGGAGGGGTGTGTCTGTGAGGGTGACTCACCGTCAAAGTCTAGGGTGCCATCCCCATTGAGGCATGGGAGGGGCGTGTTTGTGAGGGTGACTCACCGTCAAAGTCTATGGTGCCATCCCCATTAAGGTCCATGTCTCGCAGCATCTCATCCAGCTCAGTGCCCTCTAGTGGTTCCCCGAGCAGGGCTGGTGCTGCCTGCCGCAGCTCTGCCACTGTGATCCGCCCATCCCTGTCCTTGTCAAACTGTCAAAATAGAGAGTCCAAGCAGGGCTCCTACCCATGTTGTCTCAGTATGTGGCTCTACTCTTGTTTGTTTGTTTCTTTTTTAATTTGAGATAGGGTCTTACTATGGCATCCTGCCCAGGCTGGTCTCAAATTCAATTTCTCTTGCCTCTGTCTCACAAGTGCTGGGATTAAAAGTGTGGGTCGAGCTCTTGGGTTTGTTTAGTTTATATTGTTGAGACAGTCTCTTATGAAGACCAGGCTAGCCTCAAACTCACTAGTGGAGTATAGCCTTGAACTCCTTATCCTCCTCTCCTGCCTTCCCCACCTCCCAAGTCCTTGGATTACATGTGTTCACCACTATGCCCTGGTTTTGTTTGGTGCTGAGGCTTGAACCAAGGGCTTTGTGCATACTAGGTATGCACTTTACCAACTGAACTACATTCTATTCTCAGTTGTACTCTTGCCACTGCCTGATCCAGGGCAATGATGTTGCCCACCAGGGATCTAAACCTCTCCATTCTCAAGAATCATCACTGCCTCCTATGGGAGGTTTCCCTGATTGGCCACCTCACTGGGCCTAAGCCAAGCCTTCTCACTTGTCCCTAGACCCTAGTCTTGCCTCTCTGGGCCTCCTGAAGACTGAGATTTCCCAGTAAGGATGTAGTCCATGCTTGCCCTACTTACCTCTCGGAAAGCGATGCGGAGCTCTCGTACACCCAACATATGAGCTGTCTCCTCCCTCAGCTTTGGGCTTATCAGCTCCACAAACTCTTCAAAATCCACGAAGCCACCCACTGTGGACCCAGGCAGAGTTTTACAATCTGATTAGTGGGGATGCTACATTCTTCTGTCTTCTGACTAGAGCTCTGAACCCATGAAGGCAAACCTATTTCCTTGCTCAAAGAGGGGTTTCCTGGCTACTGCAGGGTCATGGATGCTCTTGTTGTCCAGAAAGCCCCAGTGGGCCCGAAGGAGACCTGGCTTTAGAGAAGGCAGCCCAAGTTCAGTCCTGTTGCTGTGTGAGGCCTTGGGTGGCTTACCAGCCCTCTTAATCTCATCCTGGGATGGGCCTGGAAGAAGCTACTCCATGGAGCAGTGCTATAGCTGCTAGAAATCAGGGCTGTAGCTGGGTAGAGCTGAGCAGGAAACACTAAATAGTGAGATATTTGTGCACTGTGTGAAGATGTGTCCCTGTGATTGGTTTAATAAAGAGCTGAATGGCCAATAGCTAGGCAAGTAGAGGTTAGGTGGGACTTCCAGGGACAGAGAGGACTCTGGGAAAAAGAAAGGTGGAGTCACCAGTCATATACAGAGGAAGCAGGATAGGCAATACAGAGAAATGAGGTAACAAGCCACGAGACAGAACACAAGTTAAAATAAATGGGTTATTTAAGTTATAAGAGCTATTAGAAGAAACCTAAGCTAAGACCAAACTTTCATAATTAATAATGTCATTCTTTGGGGCCAGCAGTGGAAAAGAGTCCATCTACACTAAATACCTTTTTAAAGCACTGCCATGTTGTCATCCCCTCAGTTCTAAAATGTCATTATTCCCTAAGACTCCACGGGGCAAGTAACAACTTTGGGAGGAAAGAGATGCATAACCCTAGAATGTGCATTGTGCTTTTGTTATTGTTTGAGGCCTGGCCTCTATTCAGTCCTCACTAACCTGAAGCTAACTCTGTAGACCAGGCTTGCCTTGAACTCACAAAGATCCTCCTGCCTCTGCCTCCCCAGTGCTAGGATTAAAGGCATGCGCCACCATGTCTGGATCTGCTTAATTTTTTTTTGTGTGTGTGTCAACTTGACTTAAATAGGGTCATTTAGGAAGAGGGAACTTCAATTGAAGAAATGCCTCCATCAGAGTGGACCATAGGCAAGTCTGTGGGACATTTTCTTAATAATTGATGCGAGAAGGCCCATTCCATTTTGAGTGGTGCCACCCTTGGGAGGCAGAGGCAGGCTCTCTGTGAGTTCAAGGCCAGCCTAGTCTACAAAGTGAATTGCAGGTCAGCCAGTACTGTTACACAGAGAAACCCTGTCTCGAAAAACAAAACAAATTTTAAAAGGGGGGTGGTGGTGAACAGGAGCAAACCAGTAAGCAGCATTTCTCCAGTTTCTGTTTCAGTTCCTGCCTCCAGGTTCCTGACTTGAGTTCCTGTTCGTACTTCCCTCAATGATGGATTGTAAGTTTTGATACGAAATAAACCCTTTTCTCTCCAAGTTGATTTTGGTCATGTATTTATCACAGCAATAGAAAGCAAGCAAATGGGCCGTGGTGGCGCACGCCTTTAATCCCAGCACTCAGGAGGCAGAGGCAGGTGGATCTCTGTGAGTTCAAGACCAGCCTGGTCTACAAGAGCTAGTTCCAGGACAGGCTACAAAGCCACAGAGAAACCCTGTCTCGAAAAAAACAAAAACAAAAACAAAAACAAAAAAACAGCAAGCCAGGATGTGAAGGATGTGAACAAATCCCACACTCATTTTGGAAATTGTTGTAAAATGAAAGAAAGAACCAAGAGCAGCAGAGGGCTCCATGGATGAAGATGCCTGTCACCAAACCTGATGACCTGAGTTTGAGTAGATCCTTGGGACCCACATGATAGAAGAACTCACTCCCAACAGTTGTATTCTGACCTCTAAATGCACACTATGGCACACACACACCCCACTAATAATAACTAAAATTGAAAGTAACATGACTGTGGCCCATTCCCCCTCTAGGTAACCAGGTGGACTCCCAACCCAATCACCCAGCAGGGCTCCATCACTGACTGCGCATCTTCACGTGCTGTGACACTTCCAGGAGCTCCATCTCTGTGGGCATGTAGCCTAGTGTCCGCATGCAGTCACCTAGCTCCCGGTAGCCAATGTAGCCATCCTGGTCAGTGTCGAACTCCTCAAAGGCAGCCTGAAGTTCTGTAGGAGTTAGCAGAAATCAGAGCAAGAAGCCAGATTCAGAGTCACCTTCCACCTCCCAGCGACAGCGAGAGATACTCACCCTCCAACTCCTCAGGGCCCAGTTCACGATCCTGTATAGGAATAAGCCAACATATCCCCGTTTGCCACACTTCCTCCAACCCTCCAAGTGCACTGTGCAGGGCTGGCCCCACCAAAGCATCTGAAGATGGCTGGAATCCTACAGACCCCATGGGCATAGAGCCACCTTCTCCCCATGCTCTTGGAGCTTCAAATGAGTTCTCTTAGAGATCTTCTGCTCACTATGCCAGCTGGCCCAAAGCCAGCCTTGTCCTGCATTGGCTCCCTTGGTCTTGGGTACAGGAAGCCACATTTCAGCTCTGTCCTGCCTTTCCCAATCTGGGGCACAAGAGGTAGAAGGCCTGGACATGTAGGGTCAGAAGGGATAAAGATAAGGAGAGTTAGCCTCCATCCCCCACCCCTATACTCCCTGACCTTTCCAAAGATGCGGTTGAGCAGGGGCCCATACGTCCTTTGGGCAGCGTCCTGCTGGGAGTCAGGACGATGTCGGTGGGATTGTCGGTGGGAGGCTTGACTGGGCAATGCTGAGGATGGCTCATCCTGCCCCGCCCTGGTCTTTGGGGGGTTCTTGCTGCTTCCTGAGGGCTCAGAACCCTGGCCAGAGGACTGCTTCTCAGAACTGGCCTTCTGGGACCCTGGTGGCTTCTTCTCCTTCTTGCTCCTTCTTCTGGCCAAGGTGGAGCCCTCAGCAGCACTCTCAGGAGATGCAGCTCCTTCAGGGGTCTTCTGGGGGCCAGGAACCAGTTGTGAGCCCTGCTCTGTTGCCATGGAGAAGATAAGGGGACTCAGCAATGCAGTTCCCTGGGCTCTCAGGGTCCAGAAAGCTGCTTATGACCCCTCAGGCTTGAGCTCATCACCTGGGATCCACAGAGAGGGGATTAGGGTAAACTCAGGCAGCCAGCCTAATCCCTGGCCTCTACCCCAGGGTGGCCTGGAAGCATCAGGTAGGTTTTGATAACTTTTTTTAGAAGCGAGGGTGCCAGGACTCAGCAGTGGGCTCATATTTAAGCTCAATCACATCACGGGTCTTACCTACTAGAAGCAGCCAATACATCATTCTCAGTCTCATTTTACCCATCTGTGAAATGGAGGCACACTGCTGCAGAGTTAAACACTAATCCCAGAGTGTGAGATCACTGAACTTAGTGTAGCAAAGACCAGTGAAGGCCCCTTAGGCAGGAGGAGGAATACTGGGAAAGGCTGAGAGCTGTCACCTTGGATCCCCAGTGGACTGACATCCTTGGTGAGGCAGAGGGCACATGAAACTTTAGAAAAGAGGCCTTGGATGCTGATGGAGGCGTGAGGACGACACAGAATGCCCTGAGCCAGAGGAGCCCCTAGCAAAGGGTCTCCATTATCTAACCTTGTTGAGATGGGGGGCACTGGCTGGTGACTTAGCCCTATGGGACCACGGTTAGGGTTTCCCAGAGAGCAGCCCCATGAATGATTGATGCTCCCTCAGCTTGGGTTTCCTGCCTGTCCGCCTCCATATCGCCACTGGGCGCCATGCAGCAGGCACCATCGTGGGGCTGGTTGGTGGCTGAACCTTGGGCAAGCAGGCAGCACCCTGCTCCTTCCACCTGGCCTGTATCTCCCAGGTAAGCCAGGCAATGCTACAAGCCCTGAGGGAGGGGCATCTAGGCTCCGAGGCCATCGCGGCTAGAACCCATGGACAGGTGGAGGCGGGGAGTTGTGGGGTGAGTAACTGCAACCATGGGTTTCCTGCATGACCCAGACATGTTCTGTAGATAGCTGTAGCCAGTCCCTCTCCACCCTTAAAGGGACGCTTTCTTCCCTCCGCCAGCTGGGGGAGGTAGATAAGGATAGCAGAAGGCACTTGGGACTCATGCCTGGGTGTCATCGTGTTGTTTCCCCCAGCCCAACCCCCTCCTTCACACACACACACACACACACACACACACACACACACACACGCACGCACGCACGCACGCACGCATGCACGCACACATGCACGCACACGCACACACGTGCCTCATTGTCATCATCCTGCCGAGCCCACTTCCTCCTCTGTATAGTAGCTCTAGGGACAAACAGGGCTCCTCTGCCAAAACTCTGAAGAGCAGGAAAGGAACACAGGCAGCAGTGCCAGACTCTGAAGAGTGCCTAGCTGCTCCCAGGACCCCAGCCAGCCTGCCAGGGTCTGGAGGCTCAGACCCCACCTGGCATCCTAGGGAGGGCACTAATGGCACTTTTCCTTCCTGGAATTGTCAACATTTGAAACCCCAGTATATCAGGATCTTGTGAAGGGACAGTCTAGTAGTTTTCTTTCTTCCTTATTTGAGATGTCTCGTGTATCCCAGGCTGTCTTCAGAACCCCAACTATCAAAGGCTAGCCTTGAACTCCTGATCCACTTGCTCCACTCTCCAATGTTGAAGTTTCAGGTGCGCACCAGTTGTTGCTTTTGTTTTAAAACCCTGTAGTCTAGGCTGACCTTGAACTCATGGCAATTCCCCTGTCTCCGCCTCTCAAGTACTGATATTACCAGCACTGCTTTCTTTAAATGGTTTTCAAACCTGTCTTCTGGAGCACTAGGTGGGGGTGCTCCCACACCTTTAACTGGAGCACTCCCTCCCCATCACCTACCTCTTCCACTCTAGCACTTTGTCTTAAACAAGACGTGAAGCTGTGGGGAAAAGAGCTGGAGTTGGGCGTGAGGCGCGCTCCTAATTCCAGCGCTCAGGAAACAGAGGCAGGAAGATCATTTAAACTTTGAGACCAGCCTGGTCTACATTGTGACACCGTGTCTCAAAGAAAGAAGAGGCAGGGTCAGGGAGCGTGGCTGAGTTGGTAGAACGCTTGCCAGGCATACACGAGGCCTTGGGTTCAACCCTCTCAGTAGCGCGTAGACTCAGCAGAGTGGTGCACGGCTGAAACCTGAGCACTGAGTAGGGGAATACAGAAGGACCAGGAGTTCAAGGCTCTCCTCAGCTCTGTAATGAGACTGAGGCCAGTTTGAGCTACATGAGATCTTGTCTTAAAAATTGAAAAACTGGTCTGGAGAGAGGAGATGGCTCAGCTGCTAAAGCATTTGTTGCTCTTGCAGAGGAACCAGGTTCAGTTCCCAGCACCCACATGATAGCTCTCAACTGCCATGTAACTCCAGTTCCAGGGGATCCAACACCCCTTTCTGGGCTTCATAGTCACCAGCACACACAAAGTGCATATATACACATGCAGGCAAACACTCACACCCATAAAATAAATGTATTTTTTTCTTTTTTGGGACACAGCCTCACTATGTAGCCCTTGGTTTACCTGGAACTTGCTATGTAGACCAGCCTAGCCTTAAACTCAGAGACTCCCCTGCTTCTGTGTGTCCTAAGTGCCAGAGTTAAAGGCGTTTGTCACCATGCCCAAAATAATAAATCTTTAAGAAAAAAAAAGGAGTCAAGCCTAGTGTTGGTGGTGCATGCCTTTAATCCCAGCACTCAGGAGGCAGAGGCAGGTGGATCTCTGTGAGTTCGAGACCAGCCTGGTCTACAAGAGCTAGTTCCAGGACAGCCTCCAGAGCCACAGAGAAACCCTGTCTCGAAAAACCAAAAAAAAAAAAAAAAGAGTCAAAATGGTATGATGGTACATGTTAGTAACCCCAGCATTTAAGAGGTTAAGACAGAAGGGTTGCCTCAAGTGTGGGGCAATCCAGATCTATGCAGCAAGTGCCAGGCCAGCCAGGGTTCCATAGCAAGACCCTGTCTCAAGAAAATATTTAATAATCTCCCGGACAAACTTGAAAACCTCTGGTTTAGTTCACTTAGGCACATGGATTCCATGTGCCAAGATGGTTAAGTATAGCCTGAGTTGCTGACCATATCTGTATGGTCACAGAGTTAGTGGACAATCCTCTCCTCGCCAGTAAAATTGATTATAATGGGGGACCACATGAAGTTATCTATTCAACTGCCTGGCACAAGCTAATTACTCAAAAGGTGATAATACTGGCCCAGACGGACAGTGACTGGCCTGAGGTGCAAACACCATCTCTCTCACCAAGCCATCACATATTTGTTGATTCGACAGACTGGCAGTTCATGTCCAGCGCTACGCTGAGGACCCCGAATGGATACTGCTATGGAAGCCAACCTGGGCGCTGCTGGCCACAGTCCCCGCACAGAGCTCAATGATGAGGACTACTACCCTCAAGGTAGCTGGGACACAGTCTTTCTGGTAGCCTTATTGCTCCTGGGACTGCCAGCCAATGGGCTGATGGCATGGCTGGCCGGCTCGCAGGCCCGGCACGGGGCTGGCACGAGACTGGCTCTGCTCCTGCTCAGCCTGGCCCTCTCTGACTTCTTATTCCTGGCAGCAGCAACCTTCCAAATCCTGGAGATCCAGCATGGAGGGCACTGGCCACTGGGTACTGCCGCCTGCCGCTTCTACTACTTCCTATGGGGTGTGTCCTACTCTTCCGGCCTCTTCCTATTGACAGCTCTCAGCCTGGACCGATGCTTGCTGGCACTGTGCCCACGCTGGTACCCAGAGCATCGCCCAGCCCGCCTGCCCCTCTGGGTGTGTGCTGGGGTCTGGGTGCTGGCCACACTATTTAGTGTGCCCTGGTTGGTCTTCCCCGAGGCTGCTGTTTGGTGGTACGACTTGGTCATCTGCCTGGACTTCTGGGACAGTGAGGAGCTGCCTCTGCGGATGCTTGAGATCTTGGGGGGCTTCCTGCCCTTCCTCTTGCTGCTGGTCTGCCACGTGCTTACCCAAGCCACTGCTTGCAGGACCTGTTGTGGGCACCAGCCAAGGCCTATGGCCCGACACGGCTTTGCCTGTGTGGCCAAGACCATTCTGTCAGCCTATGTGGTTCTGAGGCTGCCCTACCAGCTTGCACAGTTGCTCTATCTGGCTTTCTTATGGGATGTCTACCCCGGCTACCTGCTCTGGGAAGCCCTGGTCTATTCTGACTACCTGATCCTGCTCAACAGCTGCCTGAGCCCTTTCCTGTGTCTGGCAGCCAGTGCTGACCTCCGGGCCCTGCTGCGCACTGTGCTTTCCTCCTTTGCAGCTGCTGCCTGTGAGGAACGGCCTGGCAGCTTCACGCCAGCTGAACCACACACCCAGGTGGCCTCTGTGGGCCTAACTCCACCAGGACCAACAACTGGAAGCCAGCCACAGTTGGACTCCCTGGTCCAGCCTGAGGTGAACCCCTCAGTCCAGCCACAGTCAGATTCTGTGGTCCAGCCTGAGGTGGACTCCCTGATCCAGTCACCACTGGATCCTGTAGTTCAACTTGAGGTGAACCCTTTTACCCAGCCACAGTTGGATCCCATGGCTCAACCTCAAGTGAACCCCTCAGCCCAACCACAATCAAATTCCGTGGTCCAGACTCAAGTGGATTCCCTGACCCAGCCACAGTTGGATCCTGTGGCCCAGGCACAATCAAGCACAGAGGCCCAGACCCCTGCCTGTGGGGCTGAGTCACCCTCTAACTCTGGTGAGGAAAGCATCCCCAGTTTATGCCCAGATCCCACACCTGAGGCCCCTGAGAACCTAGACAGACCAGCTGTTCCTGAGGGAGAAAGCCCTAGCAGTGTTCCACCAAAAGAGGGCCCCAATGCAGACCCTACTTGAGTGACTGGGAAGCCCAGGCCTGCCAGGGCAGTAGAAGAGTCAGAGAGCGAATGAAGCAGCTAGGTGGAGAGTGGGAGCATGAAGAAAAGCAGTAATGAAAAACCCCATCGATTCCCTTGAGCCTGCCGGCAGGGCTGAGGAGAAGTGAAACCAGTTAGCCAAAAGTCCCGGACAGGGTTGTGTCTCCACCCTGTCTCACCAGGCTTCCCCATTACTACCCCAAATACCCAGCATCCTTGAACTGCTGAGGATGGTCCTGCTGGGTTCTAGCCTCCTGGGCAGGATCCACACTTCACGTTATTTCCTCCATCCTGGTGGAGGAAGGCAGCAGGGGGCACATCCTCTGGGCTTGGTCCCATTGCCCTCTAACCTTTCCCTCACTTTGCCCTTTCCTGTCTGGTTCTTTGGCTTGGGCACCAAACTGAAAAGTCCCTGTAGAGAGGGGAGGCTTCCAGGAGCCCACAGCCTAAAGCAGGAGCCAGCCACTTGGCCCGGCATAGCCAAGCTGTCTGAGACATTCACCTGTCCCCAGCATACAGAGCCTGGGACAGGATTTCCCTAGCAAGGTGCAACCAAGAGTGGGGAGCAATCGGACAAAAATGAGGAGCAGCCAGGCCCGGCTTCACATCCAGCTCTGCCACACCCTGGCTGGGTAACTGGGCATGCTTTGAGGGCCATCTGAGGGCTGCGTGAGGGAGGGAGTGTGGCATCTACAGCAGCCTGGCACACAGTGGACCTCCGGGGCAGATGGCCTTCTCAAACTTCACTGTCATACAGAAATGGCCCTCCAGGGGATGGGACTGGATGGCAGCAGGGCAGTGCCACCATCTGCCTGGAGCACCTGAGCTCCTCTGACTGCTTAGGTTGCAGACAAGCCACCTCTGGCCCTGAGGGTGGGAGACTCGGAAATCTTCAAGAGCCGAACTAACATCACCTGCCACCAGCCTTCAGGGAGGGTTGGGCAGGATGTGGGGGAGCTTCAGGTGCAGAGTGTGTCGGAACTGGAACCCCAGGACAGACAGGAAGCTGGCCAAAGGCAGAGAGCCCTGGGCACCACGGCCCTAGGAAGCTTCGGAAGTCACAGGGCTGAGTCACTTCTCCTTCTCCAGCTGCAGATGCTGCCAGGGAAGAACAAACAGGAAGTGCTGAAAATTGTTTCCCACACTCTTCCCTCCAATCACCCCTCTTCACCCATCCAGTGTTCTCCTCCTACCCTCTTGTGTTCCCAGATCAGGTCTCCCCTCCCCCAGTCCCTTCCCATTAGTGAGTGGCTGAGGAAATGCCCTCAGCAGCAGGTGTCCATGGCAGTGGTAGTTTATGTGAAGCTTTTCCCTGGGAAACTTACATCATAAAAAGGCAAGGTGGCAGGCCATGCAGGCAGCTGGGAGGGGTGCAGTCAGAGCTGCATTTTGTTGCAAACCCCTTCTTTTTTCTGGTCTGTAAGATGGGGTGATGTGCTGGGCATGGCTCACTCCTGTAATCCTAGCACTCAGGGTGCCAAGGCAGGAGTCTTATGCGTTCAGGGTCAGCCTGGGCTACCTAGTGAGACTCTGGGGTTGGTGGGGCTGGAAAGATGCCTCAGCAGCTAAGAGCATATGATATTCTTGTAAAGGACCAAAGTTGGTTCTCAACACCCACATGTGGCAACTTACACACATGAAACTTTGGCTCCAGGGGATGCAATGCCTCCTTCTGATTTCCATGGGCACCTTATACACATGTGTGCACATATACACATGCAGACAGGTACACATAGAAGCTGAAGGAAATAAATCTAAAGAAAAGAAAAAGAAGGGGCTAGTAAGATGGCTGCCTAAACTCTCAAAGCCCTGAGCTCAGTTACCAGCACTGCAAAATAATGGATGGTGTGTTCTCTTGCTGGTGATTACAAGGATGGGATACACGCATGAGAATGCCAGAGTGGTCATGAAAGTTTTAAAGCTTAATGGCAGCCTAATAGGACCATAGGCTCTGTCTTAGTCACTGTTCTCTGCTGTGAAGAGACACCATAGCCAAGGCAACTCTTACGAAGGAAAGTAACTGGGGGCTGGCTTGCAGTCCCAGAGGCTTAGTCCACGATCATCATGGCAGGGAGCATGGTGGCAGGCAAGGTGATGGAGCAGTTGAGAGCTACATCCTGATCTTCGTGCAGAGAGAGTGAACTGAGCATAACATGGGCTTTTGAAACCTCAAAGCCCACCCCAGTGACACACTTCCTCCAACAGGGCCACACCTCCTAATCCTTCTAATCCTATTAATGAGTTCCACTCCCTGGTGACTAAACATTCAAATATATGAACCTATGGGGGCCATTCTTATTCAGATCACCACAGGCAACAAAACCAGTGGGAGAGATATTTCTGAAGCATTTGTTGAATTAATTCCTCTAGCACACACACATATATGTATGTATGCATGTATGTATGTATGTATGTATGTGTGTGTGTGTGTGTATACACACACACACACTTTTGTTTTTCGAGATAGAGTTTCTCTGTGTGTAGTCCTGGCTTTCCTGGAACTCACTTTGTAGACCAGGCTAGCCTCAAACTCACAGAGATCAGCCTGCCTCTGCCTCCCAAGTGCTGGAATTAAAGGTGTGTGCCACCACCACCTGGATCTAACAAATATTTAATGATTATTTGGAAGATAGCTTTCTGGCCAGCTTTCCATTTTAGAGACACATGTTTAGGGTTCAAGGTGTCTCTAAGGGTTGTTGAGCCCTGGCTTTACTACTCATTCACTATGTGACCTTTAACAAAGCTCTTAGACTTTTGGGGACTTGCTTTACCCATTTGCAAAATGGGTATTATAATGATCGGCCTCTCTGACATGCTTGGTTCTTTGGTAGAGTAAGTCTTCCATCACTAATAGCCATTAATTTGATATGCTAACAGACACCATGAGACCAAATGAGGCCCCGGCCAGAGCCTCCTAGAAAGTAGTCTGGGCACCAATTACCCATCTCCTTACACTGCATGGTGCCTCCTCCACAAGAGAGGTTCACCTTCCCTCTGTCTCTGCCCATTGGCTGCAGTCCAAGTCTCTGAGGGCAGAGCCTGGACATTCTGCAGTAACCCTCTCTCTTCTCTTGTGGGGGGTCCCAAAGCCTCGTTAGTGCTGCCTCTTAGGGAGTGCGCTAGTCCCACTTGGAAGGTCTCCAAGGAGCATCTCACCCATATGGGAGAATCCCTACTCAGAAGACAAGGCTGCATGCACCCTGCAAAGTTTACAGAATAAAGAGGAGTTTTCCTAGTGGACCACAGAACAGGTTAGTGTTAGAGAAGATGGAGCCAGAAAAGGAGACCTCAGTCCCCAAACAATCCCAGCTCAGGGAAACCACTCCAGGGGACTTGTTGCCTTCTGGGGGACTCCTTCCTCCAGGTAAGATCCCTGCATATTTTCCCCCCAATGGAACCAGATGTTGGTTCTGAGGACTGTGAATATATTTTGCAATTCTATATTTAAGCCTGCTGCTCATTTATTCACCCAGCATGAAGTGCTTTTACATAGGGTGCTGGGTGGGGTCTCCTGGGTACCAGAAGGACTGGGGGGTGGCATGACAAGGTCCCTGTCTTTTGTTTGCTGGCAGGAATCTTAGCAAGGTGCCAAATAATTACACAGTGTAGCTTTTGGGACTAAGAACAACAGATGGGAATAAGGAGAAGCCAGATAGTGGCTGGGTGAGAGGTGAGCCCTCAGGGGAGGTGGAGTCATTGAAAGATGAGGACTTCTCAAGGCCAGGAAGAGCTTCCAGAAAGAGGAAGGAACCAGGATGTGCTAGCCTGAGGTGGGAGGGGAGGTTTGGTGTCACTAAGACATGTGTTGAGAGAGGCTAGTGGTGGGTGTCCTGGGACAGTTAGCAGGAGTCAGACAGGAATTCTGGGACAGGAACATGGGGACTATATTTTATTTCAAGTGGGGTGATGTGGGAGTGGGGAGCATTTGGAACTGTAGCCAACTGGCCTGATGTGGACTTCCCATGGAACCCCTGCTACCCAAGTCAAGCTATGCTCCTGCCTGCCCGGCTCCAGGGTTTATGAACAGTGAGAAATCCAAAGTCTTCAGAAATAACAAACTAAGACTGAGTCCCAGCTGGGAGGCCTCAATCAAGCACATGCTCTCTCCTGTTTCTTCACAGTGTTGTGACCACTGAAATGGGACACATATCCACCTACCCTCCCAATCACAGTGGTGGGCTACATGCAGGCTATACAAAGCATCTCTCCTCTGCTCTCGCCTCCTCCCATGCCCGTTCTCTTCCTGGAAAAGACACCCACCCATCACCGCTGGTCGCCCAGGGAGGTGGACACAGAGAAAGGAATGCTACCTTGAGAATCCTAAGGGGCACCTAAGTCCTCCAGATGTGACAAGATAGGGCAAATCTGAGGAGGCAAACCCAGGCTCGGATGAGATGGAGGAAAGAAAGGAAGGTGCATGGGACCCATAGGTCATCTTCTACTTTGAATTTTACTAAGCCCAAGCAGGATCCACTGGTATCCATCAGGATGTATGATGGACTTCCATTTCTTCAGGTTACTTAGTCAACTGACATCATGCACTCCCGACCTTGAAACTGGCACCTATGGCAGGGTGTGGCGGCCTATGCCTTTAATAGCAGCACTTAGGAAGCAAACGCAGGCAGGCAGATTTCTGTGAGTTCTGTGCCAGTTCCAGGCCAGCCAAGTGTGCATAGTAAGATCCTGTCTCAAACACAAAACAAAACACAGGTGAAAATGTTGGGGGCGGAGCGAGAGGATCCTGGCCGGTAACACTGAGTGGTTAAATAGGAGGGCAAGTTTCACCCTTTCCCCCCCAGAAGACTCTTACAAGGTTGGCTGTACCTATGCGGTAGTTCCAACCACGCCCCGCTCCGTGTAACTCTGCTTTCTGTGGGCCTGGCGACTAGGCCTCGCCCCATGGGCGGGGCATTATAATGTCCCGCCTTCTGCGCGTGACTTTGCCCCGCCCCCGTCCCACTCCTCTGTCACTTCCTGATTCCCGCTTCCTGCTTCCCAGAGGTCGGGATCCGGAGCCGCCTGAGGTCGCCGCCGCAGTCCCCGGCGCTCCTGGCGAGCGGTGAGCGGTGAGCGGTGAGAGGGGCAGGGCCGGAACAGGGGTGCAGATGTGGGTCTGGGGAGGGGGGCGTGAGCCCGAAGAGCGCATCACCCCCGCGGCGCCCCACCCTCAGTCCCAACCCCCCCAGCCGCCCATCTCTCCTTTCCTGGGCAGGGATCTTTGAAAGTTGGGTCCCTGGTGCTCCGAGGCCACTTTGAGGACCAGGCAGCATCCTCGCGACCCCTGTTCTGCCA